TGAGGCTAGAAATAGCATAATTTGCCAATAGAGCGAGCCGAGGATGGAAGCTATTGTGGACAAAACAGACACAAACAAGAGTTCAGCCTGGCAATCACACTTACTCAGGATCGGCCTGATGAGACACCGCAATAGAGCCGTCGAGGGGATCTCGGGACTCCGAGTCCGGAAGCTTCGAGTCGGCCACAAGACACGAGGCGTCTGGTCGGGATGCCTGTCTGGCAGATTGACTGTCGCCGTCTGAGTAGGTCAGGCTGTTCCATACGTCTGGTTGGTGATGGCGGCAAAACACCCACAGACACCAGATTCCGCAGCAGACATGGGCGGAAGGAGGGCAAAAGGTGAACGATGTGTGAAATCGCATTGCCTATGCTTGCTGGTGCGAATGCAAGAGGAATAAACGAACTGATCAGGCAACCACAAGATGTGCCTGACTCGAAACACATTTCAGAGCCTCACAATCCTCGAGAGAGGAATAGAAAGTTTTAGTGTGCCTTGTTCTTAAATCTTGAGCTTATTTTAATTTCGAGTGAAATTGTTTGGTGAAGAGATTCTAAAGACGGCAGCAGATTCCTTTTGGCCTGGCGTCGGTTAAATTTGTTGAACCATTGTTGTTGACGCTATTTCCAAGGCAACATCCATCAATTCCAGCGAAAACGTACTACGCTTTGCTCCTTCGTATGACGGACATCATCAGGGAAAGTATTAACCTGACAACCAATTTTAGGCTTGAGTCAAGAAAACTCACCAGCTTAGTCCTATATGCTGTATATATATAGATATATGATGTGAGAGAGAAAGAACGGAATAAATCGCGGACTAAAAGTTACGAGTATTTGAACCAGGATAAGAAATATCAGTTGAGTCACCTAATCGGTTGATTTCGATGGCCTCTCTAATTTTACATTTAGCAGCGGAAATGCTATAAGCAGCAAAACTACAAATCTGAGACCATTCGATCTCATGCCAGTTTCCTTCATGTGATCTGCTAACTCTTAAGATGCAGGCACTTTTACACGCAGCAAATCTTGGTCAAGTAGGACAACAAGTCTCTCCAACATAAAAGCGATCTCACGACCACATTATGTTATAGCAACCTGATCTGGATAATGTGTCAGCTTTCTCTCTAAAAGTCGGCATAACTGAACACTATTTCAGAGCTTCCCTATAAAATATTTTTATTCTCCACTTTTTTATTAGCGCGCTCAATGCAAAAAGACAAGGATAAAACATGGAAAAAGTCTCCTTATCTCTCCCTACATATTAACCATTAAAAAAGATATTCTTTATTAGGCTAATGTTATTGACCTAGGAGATAATTATTTCCAAGAAATATTAGTTTGAGCCGATCCAGTTCATTATCACAATGGTCTATATCGGCTAG